TTGGCAGGGAGGGGGCAGTTTGGGGTGATCAGTCTGGCACACAGAGAGAGTGAAGGGCAATCAAGTCAGCATGCAGAGGCAGTGAAGGGTCATCAGGCTGGCAGGGGGGGGGGGGAGTTAGGGGCAATCAGGTCAGCATGCAAAGGCAGTGAGGGGTAATCATTCCAGTGGGGGGAAGGGAGGAAGAGTTAGGGATGACCAGGCAGGCAGGCAGGTGAGTGATTAGGAGCCAGCAGTCCTGGATTATGAGAGGGATGTCTGGGATTGGGCCTAACCCAGCAGTCAGACATCCCCTGAGGGGTCCCAGATTAGAGAGGGTGAAGGCTGAGCTGAGGGGACACCTCCCCCATGCACGAATTTCATGCACTGGGTCTTTAGTACATTCATAATTTTACACACACACACACACACACACACACACACACACACACACACACATTTTCAGCACTATTTATTGGTCTTGAAATATAAAGAACTCAGTAGCAATGTGCACTCACAAGGCCCAGATTATAATCTCTATCATTTCTAATTCAAAGGGAATGAGAGCTCCTTAAGTACAAACTGCAGGTCTGAGACAGAAAGTACACAGCTTAAACCTGGAATGTCTTGTCCTACAAAAAAAAACAAACAAAAAACAAAAACAAAAAAACAAATAAAAAACAACAACAACAATAAAGCCTAGCTAAAGCATGCCAAAGTCTCAGGAGCCAATTGAAATGCCACCCACTGGCCAAGAAATAGGATAATTGGAGCATCGGTTAGAAAACCTGCTTCTGTCTTTCTGTCTTCCTTTGAAGTACTGAAATACTTCAAATGTTTTTAAATCCATGAGTTCATAATAATCCAAAAATTGGGGGGGGGGGGGGAGAGAAGGAAGGACCATATTTGAATGTGTTAATTTACCAACCTATTTTTAAAATCAGTAAAGGGAAGTAACCAAGTGTATATTCCATCTTTCTTATATGTGTCATGTCTTGAAATAATTAAATAGTTGTTGGGGGAAAGAAAGTTTATCTTTATATGCAAGAAATAGTCTACCTACGAAATAAAATCAGGATAACATTATTTGAAAGTACTAATGAGTTAATTAATGGATCTAGAAAATGATCATCAATGGCTGCTAACATCTCAAAGGGAGAAACAATCAGATATCATGTGCTTCCTACTGACACATGTAAACTAGCCTTGACAGAAAAGTTGAATTCCCATGTTCCGTATACCAATTATCAGGAAATAGGACAGAGGAACAAGTTAAAAGAAACCATTAGGAGGCAATCAGCAGCCAACTCCAGAATGTAGTACATTTTACTGATTAGTTTTAGCCATCAACTGCAAAGGGTGATAGGAAGGGAAGGTGAGACAGAGAAGAAATATAGATTAGGAGAGATTTTATTTATTTTATTTTATTTTTTAAAATATATTTTATTGATTTTATACAGAGAGGAAGGGAGAGAGATAGAGAGTTAGAAACATCGATGAGAGAGTCATCGATCAGCTGCCTCTTGCACACCCCCTACTGGGGATGTGCCCGCAACCACGGTACATGGGTACATGCCCCTGACCGGAATCGAACCTGGGACCTTTCAGTCCATAGACCGACGCTCTACCACTGAGCCAAACCGGTTTCGGCAGATTAGGAGAGATTTTAGAGATGTATGAACCAAGTGCAGGGTATAGACTTCATTACAATTCTGATTTCCTCTAGTAAACTGTGTGGGGTAGGGGTTTGTGAAACAAGGAATATTTGAACATCAACTGGATATTTCACATAAGGAATTATTTAATGTTGCTTTAGATAGAATAATGACATGGTTGAGTGTGTGTGTGTGTGTGTGTGTGTGTGTTTAAAGAAATCCTTATTATTTATATAGACATGCTGAAATATTTATAGCATGAAATGATGTGTGGGATTTTCTTCAAAATAACCTGGGTCGAGGGGAAATATGAAGAGTTTGCAAGTGAAATTCGCAAACTGTTTCAAGTGAATGATTCTCTCAACTTTTGTATGTTTATAATCTATATATATAAAAGGCTAAGTGACCAACTGTACGTCCATCTGACCGTCCAACTGACCAACTGACAGGAACATGAGGCACACTGGCAATTTAAAAATAGATGTTGACTCCCACATGTGAGACACATGTAAAGCTCTAGCTGGCACCAATGGCTCGCGTGTGTTTCGATCTGTCATTGTTGATTGTGAATTTGGTTGACACTTCTATTATAGAGAAAGGAAGAGTAAAAATATTAAAATATTTCTACTAATAAATTTCCTTTCAATGTGCACAAATCCATGCACTGGGGCACTAGTTTTCCATATAAAGTTATAAAAACTTGGTTGTGAAGCTAGACCTCAAAAAAGAAATAGATACATGGAAATTTCCAAATGCAGAGTTACTTAAGAAAGAACAGTATTAGAGGGGAAAAACTACTGGTTTATATAAGTTGCAAAATTTTTTTGTTTCATGCATTATACTAAAAACATCAGAATTAATTGAAAAATATATTACTAAATAAAGAGGAGAAAACTACTCCAACCAAGAAACAAATGTCACTTAATTCATTTAGAGATGAAAGACATGTGTCTGCAAGAAAAGCTGTGATTTCTGTAGATATGTTATTCGGCTAATAGTTTCATACTGTTAATAACCACCTGATTAACATCTTCATATCCTTTGTTTTCATAGACAAAGAAGTCTATGAATGATCTACTGAGTCCTTAAGTGAGTGATCTCTAGAGCCCTTTAGTGGTACCCAGTAAACATCCTACTCCATCTTGCTGGTTTCTGAGTCTTAGCAAGAAAGGGTAGGAGAGAAGCACAAACATACACTGAGTGGCCAGATTATTATGACCACCTGACATTTGTAGGCAAATTAGCCATGCATCATATGGGAATGGTAGCTGAAGGCCTGTTCAAACACTTTTGCTGTCTGCAGTTACCAAGATAAAACGTCTCCAATTTGCACAGGAACACAAGGATTGGACAGTCGAGCATTGGGAAAAAAAAAAGTCATGTGGTTCGATGAATCACGTTTCCAATTGCATCATGCAGATGGCAGACTAAGAATTTCACAGAAACAGCATGAAAGCATGCACTCTACATGCATAAGTACAACCCTTCAAGCCGGTGGGGGCAGTGTTATGGTTTGGGGCATGTTTTCCTGGCATGATTTGGGCCCTTTAATTCGTGTGGAACAACATCTGAATAGCACAACATACCTAAGTATCATTGCTGATCAAGTTCATCCTATCATGTTGATAGCATATCCCAATGGTGATGGCTTCTTCCAGCAAGACAATGTGCCATGCCACGGTGCTCCAGTTGTGCAGGAGTGGTTTCAAGAACATGAGGAGACTTTACCTTGCTTAGGTGCCTCCCACCATCACCAGATCTCAATCCAATGGAGCATTTGTGGGACGAAGTTAAAAATGCCATCAGACCACTGGTTCCACAACCATCAAATCTTTCAGAACTGGACAGGGCTATTCATCAGGTATGGTGTCAGATTCCTGGCATCACCTTTCAACATCTGGAGTCAATGCCAAGAAGAATTGTCGCAGTATTAAAGGCAAAAGATGGCCCAAGGAAGTACTGATGGGTGGTCATAATAACCTGGCCACTCTGTGTATCCTCTTCTAGCCCCTGCTCCTGGATGTATCCAGAAAGAGGTCTTGGCTACCTTGGAACAAAAGATATCCTAAATTGGCACCTACTCAAAAATTCTATGTGCAATGGCACGCTTAAATTCTCCTTTCTCCAAAATGGAAAATAAATCTGCTTCCACCATTTGAATACTATGGGACTAAAAATCCTTTTGTGATGCTGAAGAACTGTAGGTGTGCTAGCTGATGTGGGAAGAGGATGTATCTCAGAAACACTTAACAAGACCTCTGCAGGTGGAAACAGAAATCAACGATCCCCACCACCCCCCCACTCCCAACCTGAAGTGCTCCTTTCTCAGTATGATTTCCTATGACAATATCTTCATGCCGGAAGTTACTTGGCCATCCTGAAAAGTACAACTTATCCTGATATCTCAAGAGAGACGGAAAAGTTGCCTCGGAAGTCCAAGAAATGAGTCACGGTGCTCTCTGTTGATGAGTAATTCCAGGTGTCATGAAACCCTGTGCGGAAGGAGGGGAGAGGAGGGGGCGGCGGGCGCATCTGCAGGAGGAAGGAGACTGGCAGCTGGGGATTGGATGGCGAGATCCCCGTTTTCCTAAAAGTGCGTCATGTCGAACCCAATTGGGTCCAGATAGTACGGGCACCCACGACGACGGGTGACCGTCTCGGAAACTCTCCATCAGACGCAAGCGAGGGGAGAGGAGGCGGCTAATTAAATATTGAGCAGAAAAGTCGCGTGGGGAGCGCATCACGTGGGCCTGGAGGCGCGCGGAGCGGCGGATAAATACCGCGGGCACCAGGGAGGCGGAGAGCGCACTCCATCTCCATCTCCATCTCCTCCTCCTCCTTCTCCTCCTGCACCGTCGCGGCTCCGAGAGTGTGGACGGAGCGCGGGGCGAGCGCTTAGACCGGCCACAGGGTCCCTGCGGGTCAGCGGGTCTGCCCGCCGCCGCGGTAAGTGCCTGCGCCTCGCCGGGGGCTCTCCGCGCCGGACCGTGCGCCCAAGGGGGCCCGCTGGCTGGGCTGGCTGGCGGGGCGAGGGGCAGTGGGGGGACAACGGAGGATGGCGGGGAGACATGCACCCCGATTGCCGGTGTCCCTCTTTGTCTTCCACCTGCGGAGCCTCCTGGCTGGGAAGTGTGGATCGGTGGGAGGGTTTGGGGCTGGAAGGGACTAGGGTCCGGGGAAGAAGCGCATTTGAGAAGCTTTGGGGCTGCTTTTCTTTCCTACACGGTACAGGCTTTTTTTTCATCTTGGTTCCGTTATGGGGCAAGACAGTGTTGCTGCCCCAAGTCTTAGGTAGCCAGACACCCCCATGTATGTCATTTTCCCCCCTCCGCGGTCTCTTCTCCCTGCCCTTCCCAGAAATCCAGCATGAAAATCCTCCTGGCCGTGGCCGTCTTCTTTCTCATCTCCACTCAACTGCTGGCGGAGGAAATCCGAGCCGGCGATGGTCTCAACTACTGGTCCGACTGGACCGACAGCGACTTGATCAAGGTGAGTCCCGGGCCCCCGGCTGGTCCTCGTGGTTCCTCCCGAGCTCGGGGAGCTGTCCCTGTCCCTCGAGAGAGCGCCCGAGGCGGGCGGCAACCGCGACCAGTGAGGCCAGTGCGCGCGATGCGCGGACGCCACCCCGAGGTCCCTGGAGGGCGAGGGGCTGTGCCCATCGCCAACTTCGCTCCCGAACGTGGCACGCGGGTCTCGGGAGCTTCCCGGAGCAGCAATGCCCTCCGTGATGAGCCCGGGGTCCTCACCAGGCTGCGCACCTGGCAAGGTTTCACCCCCGGGGAATGGGGATTTCGGGGACCCTAGTCCAGCCGAGAGGACGTGGCGTTTGGAGACGCTGGGCAGGGGCAGAGGAGGGCATGTAGGACCCTGGCAGAAGCCGGGGCAAGGGGCAAGCTGCTGGGGACAGAGAGGCAGATGGAAAGCTAACTTCCTGCCGCGACCTTGATTTTGGGGACCCGAGAAGGTGGCCGCAGGTCGCCCCGTACCTGGCGGCTCGCAGGCTATTGGTGTAAGGGAGCGCGCCTCCCGGGAACCAACAGGGAAAGTCGCACCGGGCAGGTTGCTGGCAAAGCGAGGTCACCCTGCCCCTCCCCAGCCACACCTGTGTGCCTTTAGGGCGAGGAGGCGCCTGCAAACCCGTCGGAGGAGATGGGACTCAGTCAGGGGGCTCAGAGGCAGGTGAGGGAGGGTCCCCAGGCTGCGAGCAAAGAGCCGAGAGCGCGGGGCTTTGGAGACTTCACCTGCTGGTCACACGCAGGGACTTGGGGGAGGCGGTGGCGCTGGACACCCGCGAGGTGGGTGGAGGGAGGGGGCGGCCTGCCCGACCTGCTCTGGTCTCCCTGCCGAGCTGGCCCCCCAGCCCTGGCCTGCGGCGGTCCCATCTCCAGGTTCTCCCTGGCAGGAGTGCGACCTGAAGAATTGGGTTTTGGGGAGCCTGCTACACCCGGGTTTGTCCGTATGTCTGTCCCCCAGGAGGAGCTGGATGAGCCCGTTGAGCATCTTCTGCAGAGAATCGCCCGGCGACCCAAGCCTCAGCAGTTCTTCGGCTTGATGGGCAAACGAGATGCTGGTGAGATGGGCAGCCATCCCTCTCTGGGTCTCCGAGGGCCACCCGCCCTGTCTGCTGACCTATTCTCAGAGCACCCAGAGTTCCCCTTGCTCTTTGAGTAGAGATGTCCAGCCTAAAAGGAGTGGTTAAATCTCCCTCACCCCACCAATACACGCGCAGCATGTGGCTGCAGGGGGAGGGAAGGAGGCACCCTCAGTGTTAGACCCAAACCACCAAGGAAGGACCCAACCTTAGCCTCCTGGACTAAAGATCCCAACTGACAAAGCAGGAGAGGGCCCGGGCCTCCCAAAGATAGCACTGGGAATGCTCTAAGAGCACCTGGAAGCTGATGATAAACTGGTAGAAATATTGTTTACTTGAATTCATTGTAGCATCAGTGGACTCTGTAAAAAAGTCAGTTGTTTCTAATTAGATTCCTCAATTGCAAAACAAGTGACCCTGTTAAAGGCTCTTGATGGTAAACGTTTCTACACATGCTCTATTTTACTATTGTGAACGCACATTTGGGAAAGTGGAAAGAGTCTCTGAGATACAGATTCTTGATTATGCCTGTTTAATTAAGAGATGTATTTGCATCTTTCTTCCTCTTCTGAGCATCAGTGGGTGGCCCTCCTTGAATATGTGCTTTAAAAAAAATTCTTTATTGTTGAAAGTATTTTGTATGTCTCCTTCCCCACCTGCCCTCCCCCCCGTCATTCCCACCTCCCCAGCACATGCCCTCACCCCCCTACTGTCTGTGTCTGTTAGTTATGTTTATATGCATGCATACAAGTCCTTTGGTTGATCTCTTACCCCCTCCCTCCCCTGCCTCCCCCTGAGGTATGAAGGTATGCTTGATGCTTCTGTGTCTCTGGATCTATTTTTGTTCATCAGTTTCTGTTGTTGAGTATGTGCTTCTTATAGGGAAACAGATATGGCATCGCCTAACAATTACTACCAGGCCTCGGGAGTCTCACAGTCCTGGATTGGAATCTGTGACCCATAAAAAGCACTTAAAAATTGTTTTCTATTAAGATTTTATTTATATTATCAATAATGTGTGTTTCTGCTATAGTCCTCAGGTATTATATGAATGGGAAATGTTACATATTTTAAACCTCAATTTATATTTTTCCTTATAAGGTAAGAGGATTTCTCTATTTTTCTTTCCTATAGGATATGCCCAGTTCTCTAATAAAAAAAGTAAGTTCAAAATTATTTTGACATTTATCAAATACAAATGTTGATTGAATTCCACTTTGTATAATACCTTAACTTATTTCCTGTTATAAGTTTGGCCTTAATGTGTTTTACTGAGACAATATATGAATGGAAGAGATGCATTATATTTCATCCAGATCATGATTGCTTAAAGCTCTATGGGTTTAGACATACCATACTTTCAAAATGATACATTAGGTTAAAAATCCTTTAACTCCCAGCTAAACTTCCGCTGAATTTCTGACCCACAGACAGTGTGAGATAATAAATATTTGTTGTTGTTTTAAAGCTGCCCCCGTCCCCCCACTTCCAAACTCCTTTAACTCCTACAAATTGTCAGTTTAGCTCAGAATTTCAATCCTGGAGTAAAAATCCAGCACACATTATCCCTCCACACCACACAAGCACCATTTCCACTGCAAAACAAAATCTTCTAACTCAGTTGGGTATGCTGGATGCCATAATGATGTCACTTAAAATGGTAATCTAGCAGCCAAGGGGCTCCAGTGAGTCTGAGTAGATAATCCTTACTAAAGGTAAAGGTGGAAATGCTGGTTTTTTATTTCATAACTGAATGGGAAACCTCAATCTATCAAAGCACAGTGGACATTTCTTAGGGCAATGAAGATGGTAAAATTGTGACACTCTATGGTCATTAGCTCCCAGTTTCTCAGGTAATGGAACCAGAGTTGACAGGCAGTCCCAGGGTCCATCTTAATTGTACTATGCACTTAGTTGCTAGCTTGGGTTTTAGTGTCCTGGGTAGCAGAGTAGGCCAGATTTAGAGAGCAGCCCTATTTTCAACTAGTAAACCAAGGGACATTCTCTCACTCTATGAAAGTCATCTTTTCCAGAGGCTCCATCTTGACACTAAATAAATCATATTTACTTCCTAAGGAGTTGGCTTTCAAGGGAATTATATACAGCAGAATTCTATGTAATGAAAATAAATGCACTCTATGAATGTCAAAACTGACATACTTTTCAAAAGGAGCATTATTTAAAATCCAATAAAGTAGAAAGGGTAACCTTTGAGAAGTTTGTAATTATCTCAGGTGTAGGGATCTGACTTAACTAAGGCTCAGTTCCAATTCAGTAACGAGAGGAAATAGGTTTGGATATTTCCCTGTCACACAAATGTGAAATCAACTTCCTAAAAATCAAAACTAGCTTCAATAGCAACAATATTTAAAAGTTTGTATATGTAAACAGATAAAATATAATATGAATAAAGAATACTTGCTAATATTTAGATGTAGAATTGAGTATTTTATTTAGTATTTTAGTGTCATTTATAAAAATTATTAAGAGTTTTTTCTGACTCATCAAAACTTGATATAGACACATATTTATTATATGAGAATATATTTAGAAGATTGCTTTTTTGATACTAATTATAATAGTTTATTTCCTCAAAGATATATATGCTAAAATACCCCTAAATGTATTTTTCCAGGACATAGAGCAGATGCCTTTTATGGACTAATGGGCAAAAGAGCTTTAAATTCTGGTATGTATAAAATCATGACTGAAAATAGACAGTATTTTAAATCTACTTACATTATTTTTTTTCTAAGGCATAGTTTTCAAATTATTTTTAAAAATGAACTTAAAATAAGTATTTATGGTGAAAAATTCTAATTTTCATAAATAAATCTGAGAATGGGTTTATAGCTAAGTTAATAACCACAATATCAACCTCTCTCAAACCACCAGTCTTACCAGTGTCTGTCCTATTTAATTATTACCTAACCTGAATCTTTGGGCTAGTCTAATACTTTTTCTCTCATATCTGTCATATAAATCACATTTAAGCTTACTGAACTAAGGGTGTGGGGAATGCAGAAAATAAGACCAATTTTCACTTGTTAACAAGTTAATTTGCAAATTTTACAAGACATCACACCTGGCAGTTTTCCAACACAAAACAAAGAAACAAAATAAAATTATTTGTACAAATTACTTGCTCTTAATGAAGCTATAGAAACTCAAACTCTAAAGAATCCCAATGGATGTTTGAGAGTTTTATAGCCCATTCCCATGCCTTCACAAAATAACATAATCAAATCATCCTAGAGATACATACAATCAGTTTTGCCTACAAGGCTCTCAGAAAGAAGGGATGCCACAATTCTCAAAACCCATTTTAATTCTGGACAGCTCTTTCACTTGATGTAAAGGCTGCATGCTTCCTTTCTTCTCTTTTGTTTTTATTTTCTATGTAAATGCCAAATGCTTATATCTGAAAACAAACTCATCACCATATTTCCAAGGTCAAATAACCCCTATGGCATTTTCCTAAGACTGACTTGTTGTTATGCACATGCAGGCCTTACAGTCCTTGGTTTGGGTTTCTTAGGAAAACTATTCAAATTCTCTAAGGTATACTGCTTTAATTCCTATTTTTCTGGAAAGTCATGCAAAAAATGGTGTTTGCTAGTATTTATATTGGTTCTTTACCTTCCAAATTTAGATGACTATGTTTGTATTTCTTCATCAGTAATGTTGGGATTGCTCAAGGTTAAATTTTAAAGACACTACCAATACACCTCATAAAAAAATTAACATTGTTTTGTTAATATACACTGTCTCCTGGCTTTTGGAAATGGAATATAAATTTAAGCCACTAGAATTCATATCAGTAGTCTTTATATAGCAGTGGTAATCATATTAGACTTTAACTCTCCATTTCCAGAAATGATACAAGTTTTAGAACATGCTTCACTGCACAAATGATATAGGTACTATACAATTTAGAACAGATTAGATGCACCAAAAGTAATAGTGTATTATAAGTAATAAATAGAATCACTGTAATGAATCTGAATTAATTTATAAATAAATATTTGTTCCTTCACTTTAGTTAAGAAATATAAAAGGGAAAAATGAGCAAAAAAGTAATCTACACTCAATCAGAGATCTTTTCCTAAACTCAGTTGAGGTAAAGTTCTTTTAGGCTCCTACAGCCTTTTGTGGTCACAAACGCCTTCAACAAGCTAGAAAAATCTAGAAACCCTCCTCATCTCAGACACACAAAAGTTTACCTAAGGCTTCAGAGGGTGCAAGGACCTGATAAGAAACTGAGCTTGAAGTTAGGAGAACATTATGTTCCAGCTAACCCACTGACTTGTCTTTGGTTAACTCACGTTAGCATTCTCCTCACTTCTCTGAGGAACGGCGTCATGTCACCTGAAGCTGGCCAGGAAGTGAGCCTGTGTCAGTTATGCTCCTTCTCATATGAGCACGCCAGGGTGAGGCATGAACTGTTTCCTTCCTCCAGTTTGGGGCTCAACTATTCTACCCCAGAAATGCATACATGACTGACATAAAACAATCTTTTGCCCCGTGTTGAAGGGGAAGTGATAACTGGACACTGGACTTCCTTTTTCTCTCCACAGATTCTTCTCACTGGGAAATGCATTTGCAGTAACACCTAGGGGTTCTACATATCTTTCCCAGTGGTTTCTGCTATTTCCATTTAAATGTAATATTTTTAAACAGGGCATGCTGAATTTTTAAAAGCATAGTAGTGCTCTATGATGTAAATCTAAGTGTATAAAGGGTTAGTTAAAATGATGGAAAGTATACTTGAGTATTTTGATCATACCAATCTGATCTTTATCCTTTTGTGGTTACAGAACCCTTTGAAATTATACTAGTATACAATAAGTCACATTACAACATTTATATATTATGTTATGTTTAATTTTGACCTTTTTAAGTCCAGATAGTCAATGTACTTAAATTACTTGTAGGTATATGGTAAGTCTTTTTAAAAGCAGTGATTAACCTTTCACAGGACATTAGAGTACTAGGAGGTAAGTTAAACTGTGTTGTGTTTAGATGGCACATAAGCCCTACCTAAGGACTATGAGGCTGTTTCTAGTCTCAAGGAGATTGGGAGGCACCCACGAGACAGAAAGAGACTCTCACAGCGTAAGTTATGCCTGTATCGAGAATCAGCAAACTTTTTCTCTGAAGAGCCACACAGTAAATATTTTATGTTTTGTGAGCCACACAATCTCTGTAACAACTACACAAATCTGCCATTGTAATTATAAGTGGCCATAGACAATCTATAAACGAATAGCTGGCGCCAGGGTTTAGTAAAATGTTATTTACAAGAAAATGTGGTGGGCTGCATTCAGCCCAGGGCCTATAGTTTGTTGATTCAGTCCTAGAATAAGTTTCACATTTTGCTTTCATCCGATGACTATTTCCGGTTAACGTAGGCACTGTCCTTTCTATAAATCATCCGGGGTGCCTGCCACTGTCTGAGAACACTGCTGAGAATCAACACTGCAATATATTGTGGAAGTTTGCTTTTGGGAAACCAAGTATATGACAATCGACTAAAGTTACCATTCATTCTGTAGTTAGGTCACTTTCAGTCAGGATAGAAAGTGAGGCAAGATTAGAAGATATGCAAATAAACCTCTTGGAAATATTTCAACGGAGGGAAATTGTCATTATGCATTTTGAAAAAGTCATTATGTGTGCCTGGAACTTGCATTTCCTCCGTGCATCCTCTTAAAGAACCCTTTCTCTTCTCTTTGTTCTCAGTGGCTTACGAAAGGGATGCATTGCAGAATTATGAAAGAAGACGTAAATAAACTACCTAATGTGTTTACTGAGCTTCATTTGTGTCAATGGTCAATAACTGGTAAAAAAAAAATGAGAAGTGCACTATGCGGAATAATTATTTAATAATAATAATAACAACAATAATAATAATAATGTTTTGAGTGAAAAACTCAACGAAGTGTTTATTTTTCATATTGTGCCAAAATGTGTTGTAAAAAGGTGTTATAATTCTAATATGATGATTCCCTCAGAAATAGAATCAGTAGTAATTTCTCAACAAAGCACAGTGTCCAGTGAAATTGTAAAGACCTGTCAACAATATCGTCTCCAAAGAAAGAAATTGTTTTTGTTCCCTCGAAGTAATCACATCAGCTCCTGCTGAAAGAAAGAAAGTTCACAGATAGGCCTGTGCTGCTCCATTTGTTTTTATGGTGAAAATGTACAAACTATATTTGTATCCCTGAAGCATGTTTTATGTTTTGTGACTATATAGAAATGTTTTAAAAAGTTTTCATGTGATTCTAAGGTCATCATTTCATTGTGTAATGTGTTGTGATAGTTGACATTTTAAATAAAAGAAGAAATATCTTGAAAAAACTAGCTATTCTTTCGTTAACATTTAGGTCAATGAAGCAACCATTCTTTTAGTAGATGAAATGTGTGCAAAGCTGCTTGGCTGACAAATAATGAAACACAAGTTTACTTTTTTTTTTTGGTTAACCAGAGGATATTTTTTCCTTTGATTTATAGATAGAGTGGAAGGGAGAGGGAGAGACAGAAAGAGAGAAACATTGATATGAGAGAGACACATCGACTAGTTGCCTCCTGCATGTGCCCTGACCAGATAGGACCCATGACCATTCAGTCCACAGGCCTACACTTTACCTATTGAGGCAAACTGGCTAGGGCTAAATTTCTTTTTCTTAAAGAAAACAACTAAAATAAAATCTCAGTTTCTTTCTCTCTCTCTCTCTCTCTCTCTCTCTCTCTCTCTCTCTCTCTCTCTCTCACAGACACACACACACACACACACACACACGTGTGTGTGTGTGTGTGTGTGTGTTTCTTTATGGCTCAGTCACTTGGCATATCATTCATAGAGAAAACAATTCCATTTTGGAATCCAAAGAGTAAAGCCTAAGTTCTGTTTATACATGCCTATGATTCCCTTTTACAAAGAGGATACTTGGAAGATACATTTCCCTGGTTATTTCCTTGTTGGGTAACACAACTGTGCACACTACCTTTTCAGCCCTGCTTGGGTCCTAGGTATGAGTTCCCCAGTGTGTGGATCTCACTAGAATGAAGACATCCAATGAAATTCTCACAAAGGTTATCAGAAGATGATAGAAATATGGGGGGAGGGGCTGGTAACATGATATCACCCCATAACAAAGGCAAAAGCCCCTACCCATCATGTCTAAGGAGAGCCTGGGAATTGCTAACACACACAGCACTCTCCAGCAAAAACTTGGGCTTTGGGACTACAGACAGAGAGGGGCTCTCATATATTTATTTAAGGGAAAGTATTGATAAGTGTCTTTGGAACTGTTTTCTGATTGCACAGAGAGTGTAAAATATTGATGAGGTTAAAAACAACTCAGTATAAGCATGGTTCAGTGTAATCAAACTCCAAGAGGTTAGCCTGGATCAATATTAAAACCATCTGTGGGATTGAGAAGCTAAAACACTTTTTAACCTTTCTATTCTTAAGTGAATAACTTATTTTAAAAATTCTAACAAGTTCATTTTCCTTATAACACAACTAGAGGCCCAGTGCACGAATTCACACACCAATGGGGTCCCTTGGCCTGGCCTGCAGGATTGGGCCCCAACCAGCTCTCTGATATCCCCCCTAAAGGTCCCAGATTGCAAGAGGGTGCAGGCCAGGCCAAGGGACCCCACAGGTGCATGATAGGGACCAGGGAGGGACATGGGAGGTTGGCAAGCCAGGGAGAAACTGCAGGAGGTCTCCAGGGTTTGTCCAGCCCATCTCACTCAGTCCTGATCAGCCCATCTCACTCAGTCCTGATCGACCAGATCCCAGTTAGAGTGTCTGTCCCCTGATGATCAGTGCATGTCATAGCAGTTGAGTGGCCTTAGTGTATCATTAGCATATTATGCTTTGATTTTGTTTGAAAGGCCAACAGGTCAATCAGACAATTAGTATATTAGGCTTTTATTATGTAAGATACATTTAAATATGACAAAGTACAGGACCCTGGAAGCCACAGCGGTCAAGCATGAACTTGGCAGAAAACTGCAGGAGGCTGCAGAAAAAGGTGGGAACCTGGGGAGGGAAATGGCCCCTGAAGAACAGACAGACTTAGCAGCAACACTGGGTGCCATGAGTTAAGGAAACAAAATCTAAAAATTCTTAGGGAAAATAATATTTAGCCAAGCTATCATTTAGCAACCAGGATGAATTTGTGAAAGAAAAACCAGCTAAAAGCCGTTAGCTTAAGGCTTTACTAAGACCATCACAAAAATACAGCGCAAGATAACTGTTCCACTACAGAGCAGACAGCCTACAGAATTCATATGTTAAACTGATGAAGGTCAAAGTTCCATTATGTTCTGAAAAATTTTCATTGTTCCAGTTCTCAGAATGGATGGGAAACTTAAGCTGTATTCGTCATAAGGCAAATTTTGGGGACTGGAGCCATGGTGTCAACAGCTATTAGATAGTCAATTTGGATTCAGTAGGATTGGTAAGGAGGCCTAAATCTTGATATCAGTGTAATAAATTCAACCACTCAGCTGCTTTCACAAATTAAGGATGTTAAGACCTCTGAAAGTTTACCATCCATCTACTTTGAAAGAATTACTAGGTTATGTATTTCAGCAAGAAGAAAAATAAATATGGGAGGAAGTAATGAACAAGAAACATGGTACAAGAGTAATAAAAAAATCACTAAATTCAAATCAGTTGGCATGTGTATATGTGTTAATGAAACAAACTGAAAATAAAATTCCATAAGATGTCAACATAGGAGTTAGAGAAGGAAGAAGTGTAAAGGGAATCCATGCATGCTAAATTTCTTGTCCTGTTGAGAGGGTAGACTATAAAAGTATTTCACTCTTTCCTGAAAGCTTTCCCTACTTACATACATGTAAGAAAACTATTTTCTAAAGTAAACAAAGTATAGAGATAATTTCTAATCTATGCTGCATTGAGTCATTATTTGGCATAAAGAAGTATTTAGGGAAGTTGAAAACCTTCCTCTGCCACTATTATATAAAATGATAGTCTTTCCTAATATCCATTAATGGTCTCTTCTTAATAGGTATTAAGTCTATTCGGCAAATACATCATCCTGCATTTGCAGTCATTTTTCCAATCCTGATTCAGTTATGTGAGGTTATAAAATATATTCTATTATTCCACATAAATACTTTTGAATGTTTTATTTTGTAAATTCCATTGTAATGGCTTCCTCAGTGCCCAAGTATTTTATGTGACTCCAACCCATAATGATGGAGGTTGGGTTGCAATTTCAGAAAGGTAAAAAAAAATTGTTATAATACTCAGAAAAGATTGGTTCATTCACTCATTTATTCACTCACTTGTCCATTCATTTATTCATCACGTATCAGTTGTCCTTTATTTGTAAAACATTGTGATATGATACTGACATCAAACACTCACTGTCTTGTAGGAGAATGTGATATGTCCAAATAACCAAATTGCCTTAAGAGAAATATAGAGTCCGATTAGCCATCTGATGGCAGAGACCATTTCCCTCTGGCTCTCTGGTAATTCCTTGTGCCAGGAACAGTGCTGGCTCATAGCAAATGCTCAGAGTTACTGAATGGGAGGAGGAGGGGTAAAATAAATAAATGAATGAGTAAATAAGTAGAAGAAGAGGTGACATGTCAACTAGGCTTTGATGATGAAAGGATCTGGTTATGGGAAGATAAAGAAGCAGGTTTCCAGAAGCAAGGTCATGGTTCTGACTCTTCTAATGATCACTCTAATTCAGTTCTTTTCCAGCAGAGCAAATAGATGCCTCAGCATGGTCCCAAACCTCCCTCTCTAGTGTCTTGCTACAACCACTTGAGAAATCAGCCATGAACGTAAAGGCAAATGCAATCCCAAAAACTAGGGGAAATTTGTCCATCCATCAGATGAGTACTGTCCTTTCCAAACGAGTCACCTTGAGGTTTATACACTTAGTTCCATGGTGTTGACATTATTCATTACATGCTTAGAATTCTGAAAATTGCCTCCAGAATCTGCATCAACTCTCTTTAAACATCCACAATGGTTACATTTTTATTCCTTAAGAGCAGCTTTGATCTTTGGGAGTCCTAATATTTCCTCTATTTAAATGTACAAATAGTATCAACTTAGCAATGCTATTATTGAATATTTTAAAAAGGCACCACAATTTCATCCCCCAGAATATTTGCTCTATGAGATTTGGATGTAAAGTGAAAAGAAGACTGGATTAGATGGTTACATCCCCATTTTATTTCAATAAATTCTCAACTATCTACTATATTTCAGCATTAAAGCATTTATTTTCCTTTAATAATTTCATTTTTAAAATTTTATTTTATTATCAAAAGAACACTTTACAAGAAATCTACTCTGTTACCAAATTCTTAAGTGTACAATGCATTGTTGTTGATTATAGGTATAATGTACTGTAGATCTCTATAGCTTATTCATCTCGCCTGAAACTTTATGCCCATTATTAGTAGCTCCCCTAACCCCTAACAACCACCTTTCCACTATTTGATCCCATGAATTTGTCTTTCTGTGATTGGCTTATTTCACTTAGCTTATATCACTGATTTTACTTGTCCTCGAGGTTTACCCATGTTGTTGCATAATGCAAAATTTCCTCTTTCATAAGGCTTAGTAGTATTTCAGTGTGTATCTATACCACACTTTCTTTTCTTTATATAATAGATTTCAAAGAGGAAGGAAAAGAGAAAGAAAAAAGAAACATCATTGATGAGAGAAAATAATTGATTGGCTGCCTCCTGCACACCCCACACTGGGGATTGAGCCCACAACCTG